TATAGATTGATGTTGTAACTCACCAAACTAACAGCCTAGGTATTAGCTAACAGGCCCAGACACGTGATTCGCCGGTATTCTGCCGCTGCTTGACACAGCTGGGAGGAGTCCGGCTCATCAGTGGGTCCCCCTTTGATGAGCCGGACCCCTCGAAGCTGTGTCAAGCAGCGGCAGAATACCGGAGAAACACGTGTCTGGACCTTTTAGCTAGTACCTAGGCTGTTAGTAAGGTAAGTTAAAACATCAATAAGATCGGTTTTCGCACATTCCTGAGTGAATGTATACAGGGTGTCCCAAAAACTGTATACAAATTTTAAATACTTGTACATTTGGTGTTTATTATAATTTTATTATTTCAAAAGTGTAAAAATATTTATAACTATCACTTTATTGCTTTTTGTCGCTGCATTTTTACCATTGCAACAGTGGCTGAATCGAGAGAAATCATTGAACATTAATCACCCGACTACTAGGGGGCTTGCTTCATAGTGTTTTTACAACTCCATTGCTTTGCGTTGTCAGCAGTGTCATGATCAAAATGGACGTCACTTTGAGCACATTCAGTGAGAGACACAGTAAAATAATACTTGTAAATATATTTTACATTTTTAATAATAAAATTATGACAAACACCAATTTTTAAATTATGTAAAATGCGTATACATCTTTGGGACACCCTGTATGACTTGGAAAATTAGCATTCCATCCTTCGTGTTTCAAATCGACTGAAGTCCATGACACACAACACGCCAATGCGCACAATGGAACGACAATGCCCTCGCATTTTCACACGTTAAACTAGCTGAGTATAAAACGCCCATTTGAAAGCATTATGAGAGAACTTCTTATAGGCCAAAAACTATATAAATAAAAAGCATCTAGCCATAGGTAAGGAAGTAGCTGCGTCAATTAAAATGCTGAAATACAATCTTCGAAACGAAATATTCATAAGTAAAGCTTACGAAGACCTTCAAAAAATTCCTAAACCAAACTGCTAGATTCGAGCGATAGCAACAGTACAAAGTAGGAACAGGGCTAAATGGACTGAACAGGTAACTAGACAATTACAGCTGAAGTGTTCAGCGTGTGACTTGAGGATTATAACCTTCAAGCCTATAGTACTACGTGTACCTACTCAAGCTCTACGAAATAACCTCCATCGCATTCTCGGAAGAGGACTACGAGCAGGTTTCGTGTAATCTCCTGTTGTCTCTTTATCTGAAACAAAGCACAGGATATATTTTGAAAGAATTTTTTCCGGCAGAAAAGTCTCAGTAACACAAAGTTCACTTCGGCTAGATATGCTGACAACCCTTTCGGGGTCGTCAAAAGGAATGCACAAAAATATATCCAGTGCTTAACCCCACATCAAGCCCTCTCAAAACCAGATTTGCGACAACATAAAAGTCTCAAGAATTCTCCAGTTATTAGATGCTCTAGTTAGCAGATATCCAAACAGAAGAGGGAAAGAATCTTAGACATAGAGGCTACAAACATACCCCAGGGACCGTGTTTTTACAGTTTTTTTTCTCGACAAACTCATCTTAAGAACCGGACGCTGTGATCGGATTAGTGGCTAGCAATAGAGAATTTTGAAGGAAAGACGTTCTTTGGGACAAGAAGGTAAATGTATTCAACAACTTCTCGAGACTGGCTCCCCGGCTTGTCGTCAGACTATAGAGAATGTGCAACGAACAATTAAGATGTCAAGCATGCAGAAAATATCAATAGTCATCGGGAGTGAACGCTGATTGGTAGCTGTGGTTTATGTCACTCCATATTGCTCGGCTCTCGTCCCTTCTATCTTTCTTTGAGATATTTGTACACCCGATATGTCGGCTGATGCATGCATCATCGGAGGGCGTGGTCTCAAGACATTTTCAGTCTTTATGGTGGGGCACAATTTGACGCTGCGTGTTTGTCCTACGCGGTGGTGGGTCCTTTACCATGGCTCTGCATAGCGACCTCGGATAAATGGTCACGTCCCTTCACTGCTAGTTGGTGTTCGTGAATGCGTGTTGTGACGAGCCTTTCTGTTTTGGCACAATTCATGGTATCACAATCAAGATAACGAATTGGGATGGAAAGCGCAAACATCCAAAGAAAGATGGACGAGAAGACAGCCAAGCAAGACCGACTGGCGTAAAGCACATTTGCCAATCAGCGCTCACTGCAGATCACTGTTGCATTTTTCTCCACGTTTTAACTTTTATTTGTTCACACTTGGGTCGATTTTACCAGCTCAACTTAAGCAAACCAAATCTGCCAAACCTCCTAATAATTTTAATTGTTCCCTGCATATTCGCTCTAGTCCGGGGAACCACTCTCGAAAATTTACTGAATAAAGTTAACTTGTTATCTCAGTGACCGTCATTTGTTCAAATTACATTTCTTGGGATGGCTGATTTGCCATTTAAACGACTACACTATGTTGACAGTGTGGATGCACGTTAACCGGGATCTGTTTGATCGGCTATACAGGATAATCATCGCTTGCACCTTTGGATCCAAATGTCGATCCATTCAGTGATACAAATACCTGACCGTAATGCTGGATATGTCAAATACGGTTGTTATGCTAAAGAACACATCCTCTGTGTTTTAAATCGACTGAAGACCATGGCACACAAGAAGCCAATGCGCACAATGGAAGGACTAGTCCTAGATGAGCAGTGATGCGTTAATGTTTGGAGGTGCATTGCACGTCCTTGCACTTTCGCGCATTAGGTTAGCTGAATACAAAAGGCCCGTTCGACGGCTACGTCACAACCATTATACCTCTTTTGGTTACGTAATACCCTGAGGAGGATAACACTTCGAATGTTGGTGCCAAGGCGAAAGCCACAAGTGCAACGGCTGCGCAAGTTAATGAGAGTCCAGGAGCGAAATTTGAAATCTTTAAACAGAACATTTTACCTGGCCTGTGCCGATGGCTAAACAATTGGGTTATAGTACACAGGTATTTGGGGTAATGCAAGTGAGAGCCTTTAAACCAGTAATTTAGATGGTAAGTTTTACTGTATCGTGTCCATAAGTGGCAGTGGACTCCAAAACTTGTCCAAATATGCCATTCAATACACTGCTGTTATCATATCTTGCGTCTTTGCCCTGAAATTTTTAAAGAACTTTATTTGTTTGTCGTTGTTTTTCTTATTCTAAGACCTTTATACGATTTTTGGACGACGGTTTCTCACTCACAATTGGTTTTTTAATCAACGTTTTTCAAATTTAATACATTCAGATCACAACAATTGATTGCTTTTTTATTATTAAAGTTGTTGCGACTCCAGTCACGCATACCAAAAAATTTGCCCAAATAACCAACCATTATATCTTTCCATTGTGCTTATTCTTAAATTATAATGAGTAGTAATAAACCGCGTATAGTAGTATTCTGCCGAAACTTATAATGCGCCGACTTGGGCAGAATGAGTTCCGAGGAACAGGATAACGAATCTTTATCGGTAAAATAAGAATTTAATTCACTAGCCAGTCGGAATTCACACTCGAACAGAACATGGAACAATAACAAAGCACAACAGTGGGCATAAGATAGTTGGCCTACGTACTGGATGGATCTTCCATCAAAATTAGCAACCTATACATTTGCTGCAGATTTATGTACACAGTTCAATGGTAGCGTGATTGCCTGCACAAACTTCTCTAAGTGCGGCAATTGCATACACGATTGACATAATAATAAAACCGAAAGATCTGTCCTCATATGGAAAACATCTGTAATCGCGATTGAAACTGATGCAGTTTTGGGCATGTGCCGAAGAAACTGGTAGATGAAATCTGCTGCGGCTGATTAAACCAGATTTTCAATTGGCACGAGAAAGACCAACAGCATCTTACCTGTGCGATGCCTGATTTGTGATTTTCAAATCCCCAGTCCATTACCAAGCAGAACGCTCTACCTTCGCTTTATTTAAACTTCGAGTGCATGAGCGAAGAGCGCTAGGTCTAGTGGCAGTGTAAGTTGGCCAAATCACCGAGAAATAATCGTTCCAGTTGTGATATTAAATTGAAATCAGTCATTTCTTAGCTTCATATGATTAAGACGCTATTGCCCAATGTTCGAGCAGACATGAAGGGTGTGTCCACTCTTTCAATTTAGATGACGTTGCACGTAGTTGGAGCCCCATAAATGCTGCGGTTTGTAATCGTGCGCTGCCTTAATCACTTGCGGCGGCGCGGCTGCGACGTAGTACGATTTAAATCTCTGTCTGACCACCAAGATGATTTTGATGTTATCTTTTCTTCTCTTTTGAGAACCGGCGCCAGGTAACAAGTGTGTTTTTGAAACGTCAGTCACAATATATTTCGGTCCATGAACTTGCCCGCTCTTCTTCTTCGGATGATGGTAAACGCGCAGATTGGTTTCAAATATAAACAAAAATTTGAATTTAGGGGTCTCATCGATCTGCTTAAGGAACATTTTGTGTTAGAGTCCCAATAAATTATGCAACATTGGTAGTCGTCACGTGAATTATAAACAGGCTGCTTAAGAAAGCCTGGTCTGACTGTCAAATTAATTTATCCAAATTAGTAAAGTCCATAAGTTACAGTAGGTTGTGTGGGAAACTCGGCCCAAATGTTATTTAAAATCCGGTTTCCGATCACGATCTCGTTGCTCAGTTGGTTAGCATTAACTGTAAGCAAGCATGGCCTTTGCTAGGTTTGCATCCTACCAAATCAGCCGCCTTCTCTATGATTTTATCAAATTATTTATGCAATTCTGCTCAAAGCCCATTTATATCATGCTTCACGAAGCCTTTGATGTGACAGTTGTTCGTCTACCTTATCGAAAAGAGAAGTGCCT